GATTTTTAAAATTTCTAGTATTTCAATTTTTCAATTTTTCGATTTCTTTATTTGTGGAAGTGCCGATGTTTCGATTGTTCAGTTTTCCAATTTTTCATTTTTTTTTCGATATAGTGATTTTTTTAGTTTTCCAATTTTTAATTTTTCAGTCTTTCAATTTTGGACTTCTCCAATTTCTCGACTTTTCGATTTTTTGATGTTCCGTTTTTAAGGATTTTTTCGACTTTTAAAATTTTCAATATTTCCACTCTTCGATATTTCCACATTTTGATTTTTGGTTTCGATTCATCGATTTTTTACTTTTCCAAATTTTCGATTTTCCATTGTTTATTATTCAATTTCTCAATTTTCCGATATATTTCAGTTCTGGGATTTTTCAGTTTTTTGATTCTTCAGTTTACAATACTTCAGTTTTCGATTTTTCGGTTTCTCGATTTTTTGACTTTTAGATATTTTGATTTTTACATTTCTGGATTTCTTGACTTTTCGATGTTTTTAATACCCAATTTCTCGATTTGTCCGTTTCTCAATTTTACATTTTTTTTATTTTTCGGGTATTGATTGTTCAATTTCTTAATTTTTTAAATTTTCGTTTTTTGATTTCTATTTTTTTCAACTTTTCGATTCCCCAGTTTTTCAATGTTTTAGTTTTGTGATTTCAGTTTTTTAATTTCCCGATTTTGAATTTTTCGGTATTTTGAGTTTTGGGATTCTTCGCTTTTTCGAATTTTAAAATTTTCGATTCTTCAGTTTTAAATTGTTCAATTTTTGGCATTTCTTAATTTTTGATTTCCCGATTTCTCGATTTTTTGATATTTAGATATTTTGATTTTCGTATTTCTCAATTTCGTGACTTTTCGATGTTTTGAATTTTCAATTTATAGATTTGTCAGTTTTTCAATTCTACAATTTTTTGGTTTTCGGGTTTTGATTGTTCAATTTTGGTTATTTTAAATTTTAGATTTTTTGGTTCTAGTTTTTTTCGATTTCTCCATTCCTCAATTTTTCGATTTTTCAGTTTTTCGATTCCTGAATTTTTATTCGATTTATTATTTTTTCAGTAAGGCAGTTTAAGAATTTCTCAATATTTTAATTTTTACAATTTTTTGATTTTTCGATATATTTTTCCGAATTTTCGATTTTCGATTTCTCAATTATTCGATATTTCTGTTTGGGGATTTTTAAAATTTTTCAATTCTTCAAATTTTCGATTTTGAATTTTTCGATATTTCGGTTTTGGGATTCTTTGCTTTTTCAAATTTTCAAATGTTCGATTTTTCAATTTTTTTTTCAATTTCTCAATTTTCCGATACATTTCAGTTTTACGAATTTGTAGTTTTTTGATTCTTCAATTTCCCGATTTCTCGTCAGTGTTTCGATTTCTCAATTTTTTAATTTTCAATTTTTGGCGTTCCCTAATTTTCGATTTTTCAGTTTCTCGATTTTTTGGCTTTTGGATAAATATTTTGATTTTCATATTTCTTGATTTCTTGACTTTTCGAAGTTTTTAATGCCCAGTTTCTCGATTTGTCAGTTCCTCTATTCTAGAATTTTTTCATTTTTCGGGTTTTGATCATTTGATCATTTCTATTTTTTTCAATTTTTCGATTCCTCAGTTTTTCGATGTTTTAGTTTTAGGATTTAATTTTTTTAATTTCGATTTTAATTGTTTCGGTATTTTGAGTTTTGGGATTTTTTGTTTTTTTCGAATTTTCAAATTTTGGATTTTTCAATTTTTTATTTTACAATTTCCCAATTTTCCGATGCATTTCATTTTTACGATTTTTTGATTCTTCAGTCAATTCTACAATTTTTTGGTTTTCGGGTTTTTATTATTCAATTTTTGTTTTTTTCAAATTTTCGATTTTTTGGTTCTAGTTTTTTTCGATTTCTCCATTCCTCAATTTTTCGATCCTTCAGTTTTTCGATTCCTGAATTTTTATTCGTTTGATTATTTTTTCAATATGGCAGTTTCAGAATTTCTCAATTTTTTTATTTTTTGATGTATTTTTTCGAATTTTTATATTTTCTGTTATTTAATTTATCGATTTTTTCAATTTCAGAATTATCAGTTTTCCGATCTTTCGATTTGTCAGTCGGTTTTTCAGGTTTTCCGCTTTAGATTTTCCGATTTTTCACTTTTTCGGTTGTTAAAATTTTTGATTTTTCAATTTTTCGATTTCTCTATTTATGGAAGTGTAGATGTTTCGATTGTTCGGTTTCTCGATTTTTCAAATTTTTAATTTCTCGACTTTTCGATTTTTTGGTTTTTCAATTTTCCGATTTTTCCATTTTTGGACTTCAATTATATCTTCAATTTTTCGGTTTTTTAAATTTTAGATTTTTCTGTTATATGATTTCCAAATTCTCTGATTTTTTTCAGTTTTTTTATTCCTTAGTTTCGCGATTTTCAATTTTTCGATATTTCAGTTTCTGGATTCTTCAGTTTTTGTTCCTTTAGTTTTTAGAATGTCAAATTTAGACAGACAGACGGACTACTTTTTCGTATTCTAGGGGTCATTAAACGTCGAGAAAACGTAGAAGTAACCAGTTGTCCAATGGACTCGATTACAGTATCGGTTATTGCAATTCGTAGAAAATGTCGTTTAGTTTAGTTTCTCTGTTTCACTACCACGTGTATGTACAACTTGATAAGCATTATCACTCCATTTTTCTGAAAATTGTAGAATACAGTCCTGTTATTATTAGTATTACGCTCCATCTACCCAAACTGATATACGTTACGCTGGAAAACGCTTATAAAATCAAAGTCCTTAGAATACGAAAAAGTAAGTCTCTCATTGGGGTCAACAAAAATCGTCATCACCGGTGCAGCTTTAAACCGTAAATTTATTAATCCTATTTCATATTTTAGAGAAATTAAAAAAGACGAAAATACAAAACGTGTCGGATCAGTCCACTGTTTGTACATTTTGATGCATGCACATAATCAAAATACAATAATTGTTATTGTTTAATATCGGACATAGAACAATGCAAACACCGTTTTGCAAAATGAATATTTTCTGCGGTTTGTTTTCACAATCGCGTCCACCTAATTATATTTCCAAGCACTTTAAAAATGATGGAGGATTACAGCTCCCGAAATAATTATAATCTAAGTTAATTTAATTTATCAAAATCCAGTTTTTCGAGTCGTTCAACCAAAACCCCCGGACAGATAACCAGGTCGAATTTATTCGACATCACCTTGATATTTTCGAGGTGGATATATTTACGAAGGCATTTATTTGACACACGAGTGTTAAACCCTGTTTAAAGATATCAATGGTTCGTTTGCGTGCGAAAAAGATATCAGCACACGGTGACTTTCCCAATGGCAGAACCTCCCTGTCCATTACTTTATCAAGAAGTTGTGTCTCAAGTAATTAATTAAAAAGCCGACACGTAATTAATTACGGTCCACGTGAAGACAAAAGTGTGAAATTTGTGAACGTCATGCGTTTTGACATGTTGAGCTTCTTCCGGTTTTCCATAAGTCGCTTAAATTATCCCCTTCCGTACACGAGCGCATTTAAGACCTACTTAATAAACACCTCGATGGCATGTTTAATGGCAAAAGCATGAAACTTAAATTTTAGAGCAAGGCTTTCAGTTTCCGATGGAATTAATTCGAACCCAACGTAGTAATCTCCATAAGGTTGGAGTCAGTGGCGGCTGGGCGAATTTTACAACGGGCAGACAAGAATGTCGTTGCTGTTTATCTCTCGATAATAATTAGTTAAATCACACACGTATGATAGTCGGCACTTCATCCTGTGATTACACCCAAGTGGAAATTTAATGTCGCATCATTTGACCACAAACCAGCAGTTTTGTGTTTAACGTCACCGTTATTAGCCACCTTAACTAGCAACAAGTTTATTTTATTGTTCACGATTGTCCAGTAACAGTAGCTACAAAATTCACCGGAGCAGTTGCTTTTTTAACGATTGTGGTTGTACTTGTGGTTTATGAACAGGATTTCTTTTTTTTTGTTTAAGACTGTAGTTTTCGGACCTTTCTCCACGAGCCACCGCTGATCGGAGGTAAGACTCCGGGTTGGCGAACATGCAATACAATACCAGCTTCCGGAGCGAGTCTCTTCCGGTCTCGCCACGGAATTTTAATCCAGATTGGGACAAAGGTGTAACGAGTACCGGCACAATTTGCAGTGCAAATTTTGTTTTCACATACAATATTTACGATAGGGGTCTGTTTTAAATTTAACGCCCCTGTAACATTTTTCCCTCTAGTTAGGGCAAGAGTGGAAGTTATTTCAGTAATCTGAAAGTGGCAAAATTCGATATGTTCGTTCTATTTTATAGTATTCGGGGAGGAATTCAATTTTCTGGGGTTTGAGTAAATTTTCTGTAAATGGGCTCGAGTCAGCGTTTGCTGGAAGTAAAATGCACTCCATGTAACCACTTACACGTAATGTCATCACCTTGACGTACTTGGAGTACGAGGCGAGGTATAAGTTGCCAAGGAGGAATTTTTTGCATACGAAATGGAATGGCACGGAGAAAACACTTTATTTTGTGTTTCTGATCTATTTTAAGTTTTATTGTATCGAGAGTGAAACACAAATTATTGCTAATGCAATAAAAATCACTGTAAGATGCTGAAACCTCCCTGAACGAAATTATATTTAAAAGAATTTTTCATACTTGACGTTGATCTCTCAAGTTTGTTTAATATTTTCAAACTGCGAAGTTTTCTCGTCATCACAATCCTTTAACAAAAATTACTTGAAAGTTCGCGTCCCTATTTCTTCCGTTCGGCATATACTGGCGTAGAATAACTAGAACCTTCGCCATAAATCCAACTCTTAAACACCGGCAACTACTATAAAGTCCTCAACAAGTTTCAAACAATGTTTGCAGCAATTTCGCCCCTTCCGGTTGGTTTTTATTCAATACATGTCCCACAACGATGACATAAAAACTCTCAATAAAACCCGAAATATTAAATATACTTACTTTTCTTTTTTGTTTCAGGTCATAAATATCGTCCTGGCGACAATCCTGAAGTCCGCTCTAGAAAAAGAGGAAGAACAATCCGAAGCGTACAGAAAATAATTTCTAATTTGTAGTAAACGCAAAAACGAGATAAATGTACCGAAAGGTATTTTTCATTTTCAGGGGTAAATATTTTCATGACATTGATGCTTTAATTAATCATTCTGTATTTTTTCGCAGTATTTTGTTTTGCCGTACATTTTGCGTTTACTGTAACGATCGTTAAGCAGAATTCTTTTGTACTTAGTTAGCTAGCTATAAGCATTTTTTATTCATTATTATATGTGTATGTTAATAGATAATTTAGGCCAGAAAAGAACATGTATTTTATAAGGATGTTATATTGAGCATGTGTATAACACGTAATAAATAATAAATTGGTTTTGATGCTATTTGTTGTATGCGGTGCATTAGTTCGTATCTTCGTCATGGCAGTCGCATTTGTAACGTTAACTTAATAATGAGCACATTAGTCGAAATTTAACAACGTAAATCACATTACAAGTAGAGCGAATTGCGTATCTCGCAAAATTCGCATAAATATTGGCTGTTACATGCGGTTATAGGGGTTTGGAAGCGAATATAATCTACAGCGACACACAAGGGTAGATCGCTTATATCTTGTACAGAGCAGGGTCGTGGAGCAGGAGTGCTCATTTATATCCATGCCTTCAACTGCAGACCCTATACTCGTATTAAACTTGATACAATTGTAGTACAACGTTCCTTTAGTTTGCTTTATGGCTGTATCATTTTTTCAAGAGCGAAATTACTTCATAAATTCATGTCTTCGTTCTCAAACGTTCCCATTTCCTACATTTTTAATAGCGAATTCCGGAAATTTATGAACGAGATGTGTCTAATTACGTTCTTGATATACTGACTCCTACAAACGAAAATGAAGCGTAAGCTTTTGGTTAAAGCAAAAGAAAAAAGCTCGGAGTCATGGAAAAAGTGAGTAAGGCGTATGCTAAGATTGAGCGATGTGGTTCGGATTTTTCGTTTACTAGGACTTTTTATAAGATGGTTAAAAAGAATTTGCTATAATCGATGAAATATTATTAGTTACTAATAATATTTATTTTAACTAAGTGTCATTTAAATTTTATAAAATAACATACCTACTCCTATAATTGTGTTTTATGAATACGCCTTACAATTATTATTTTAGTAATAATACTAATGAAATTACTTCTAGAACATCAAGTTTAATTGTACTTCTTCAAAATGAGAGATTACCAACATAAACTGCAGTTCCAATTCTTCTATCAAAAAATATAGCTACCATAATTAATATGTAATTATCTAATAAACATTTCAGATAATAACAATTACAATTACATATTCTAATGAGAATAAAATGAAACAACTTATTCCTAAGTTTTGGAAACCTTATTTTTTATGAAAGGATATATATTTTGTGTTAAGTAAATATTTATTCGTAATTATTGGCCACCAATACAAGTTTTTACTTTTCAAAAGAGTCTAGCAACACTGGAGAGTATTGAGCTGATGGTTCCGAGTGTATTCACATTATAAATCCAGGGCACGTAATTGTCAGTTAAAATTAATGATACCAAGGTGAATCAACAGGTGGCGGTTTTTAAAATTTAACGTGATCTTTAATAGGTTACCCAACTATCAATTTTTGATGGCAGAATACATGAACAATAAGAAAAGTAACTAGTTAAATAATAAAGAATGACCCAAAATCAAACAAAGATTAAAATGCCTGTCTAAAGCAAATGAAAAACTGGATGAAAAACCAATAAAATAAAACAATATTTCCAAAAATATATCAGAGCAAAAATTTCAAGCACATTTGTAAGTGTTGGTACCAAAGAAACCCATACGCCGCCTCGGTGCGACACCAATGGGTTCTAGTATGTACGGCGATGATGGGTGACTCATCGTCGGTGACAGCGGCCGGGCGGCGTTCGCTAAAGAAAAGCCTGGAAGCGGAAGTCGCATACGGCATTCCAGAAAGATCTCGATCACGTAACATCTAGAAGGAAAGTATGGGTTTAAATAGAGGCCACCTTCGGGAACGATTATTATTATTCAGCCGACGAGTCGAGTTTGAGTTACTAAGGAATACATTGTGAGTTTTACGTAATTCAGTGTTCGAAATTTAGTATTTTTCCCAAAATACTAAAGGACATTGTGTTTCAAAATTGGTTACTAATACTGCTCAAATTACTAAAACTATTTTAATACTGGTTTATTTTAAGCGTTCGTTACTTACCAGATTATTCCATAATAAAAACACTGTAATAAATTTTTACGTTTTTTAACAAAAAAACAAGAAAAAAAATTGTTGAACTAAAACACAAAACATTTATAAAAGCGTTCTCGTGAAATATCACTCTTAAATTAACAACAACAGAAACATTCATATTTAAGTCTGGGTAATCCTAACAAAACCAGGTGGAATATTGTGTCAGATATCAAAGGGAATTGTAAAATATGTAGTTAAAAACACTGACATGGAAGGGGACCCCGTGTTGAAAGGAAATAGTTTTAATAAATATTCTAACAACTTTGAACCTAGTTTCAAATCTAGTACAATGAGATTCAGAGCTTAACGTAGGTAAGTATTGTAATAGGGTGGATAGAGTGAATGGATTGTGGATTGTTGATGTTTCATGATCCACAGAGTAGGAAAAAATAGGTGTTTTGTTTCCGTCCGTGGCGTTTGTCGTCTACGTCAATTTTTATTAGACAGGTAATCTTCGAAACTACCAGACCGATTGTTTTCAAATTTTACATGTATATTAGGAATATCGTGTAGATGATAAAGCGCCTACATTTTTTTTTGCAAGCCATTTAAATTTTATAAAATAACGTACTCTTGTCATTACGGTTTATGAATACGCCTTGATTTTTTATCCTAGCCAAGCAGAATTTCGTAAAAAATCCAAAATGAACATTGACATTAGGTAAACTTGGTAGTCCTAGACCAAATGTTGATTTACTAATGCCAAAGTTGCAGGTTCTATTCAAAAAGGAGGCACCACATTTTCTGTAAAATTTGGGTAATACACTAATGTTGCGTCCGTCTATATTTCATAATAAAAGAAGAATTATAATAATACTATTCAGAACATTTTGCTGCATTCTAACTTTAGTCCCCTTCTCTGTTTTGAGAAGGCAAAATCATTCCATCAGTCAGTTTGCGACGTGCTGAATCGTGACATTCTTTCGATGTATAAACCTAATAAACAATCGAAGTTAAGCATGTACTCAGAATATATTTTTCTCGTTTCATAATTATTTTTCAAAGAAGAAAACAAAGGCAAGAAGCAAGTCCTGTCGAAAAAACCTTCGAGTAATTGTTTGAATCCAGTGACAGTTCAAGAAATTTTAGAAATAACCAAGAATTTGGAAAATATAAACATTCCAGGGATTAATCAAATATCTACCTCTTGGAAAAAATCAAAAAAATTCAATTAAGATTGTTTAAACAGAATTTCCTTCGCCCGTGAACTATAGGCCAACAAATGGAGCTACTTGTTCCTGCGTAAGGAAGTTATTGGCTAACTGAAATACGTAGCAAATATTTTTCCAATTTTGTAAAAAAAATGTGACAAAAAACCAAGGCAGATTCATAAACCACAAGTATAGGAGTATATTATTTTATACAGTTTTGATGGGATTTTCTGTGGAAAATGTGGAGGTGATATTATCAAATTGTTGGTATCAATTAGCATTTTACCATAGACACAATATTCCTAACATAGGTTTAAAATTTGACAACAATCGGTCCGGTAGTTTCGGAGATCGTCTGTCTAATAATGGAAATTATTAAATATATTTTTCTTTCGATCAACATTTTTGTGACCTATTCCTTGCATTCCTCTATACCGGGTGTCTGGAAAATGGCGGCTTAACTCTTTTGTACGATATGTATAGGGGTTTCGGGATCCCCAAAAAAATAATTCAAAAATTCTTTATAATGTTGATTACGAAAAACACGTAATTTTGTAAAAGTAAAATTGGCAACACTGCACGCACCTAATGCGTAAATGGCGACTGAAATCCACCAAAAAAATATTTAATAAGACATTTATCAATTATAAACAAAAACAAAATCAACAAAAGAAAAATTCATTAAAGTTGTTCAAAATTCCTACCTCGTGCATATAAGTAAGCTCGTAATGTTTTCAAATTTTGATCATTTTTTGTAAACGTTAATCATCAGTACTTGCTAAAATAAAACTAATTTTGACAAATGACATACCATCTAAGAAAAGAGAGAGTGGGTGGGCGGGGCTAGTACCTGCTAAGATAAGACTGGTTTTGGCAAATCAGATACCTTCTAAGAAAAGATAGGGCGGGTGGGCGGGGCTACTACCTGCTAAAATAAGATCGATTTTGGCAAATGACATTCTCTGTAAGAAAAGAGAGGGCTGGTGGATGGGGCTAGTACCTGGCTGCTAATAAAACTGTCTTTGGCAAATGACATACCCTCTAAGAAAAGATAGGGTGGGTGGGCGGGGCTAGTACCTGTTAAGATAAAACTGAGTTTGACAAATGACATACCTTCTAAGAAAAGAGAGGGTGGGTGGGCGGGGCTAGTATTTGTTAAGATAAAACTGAGTTTGACAAATGACATACCTTCTAAGAAAAGAGAGGGCGGGTGAGCGGGGCTACTACCTGGTAAAATAAGATCGATTTTAGCAAATGACATTCTCTGTAAGAAAAGAGAGGGTGGGTGGGCGGGGCTAGTACCTGTTAAGATAAAACTGAGTTTGACAAATGACATACCTTCTAAGAAAAGGGGGGGGTGGGTGGGCGGGGCTAGTATCTGCTAAGATAAAACTGAGTTTGGCAAATGACATACCTTCTAAGAAAAGAGAGGGTGGGTGGGTGGGGATAGTACCTGCTAAGATAAGACTGATTTTGGCCAATAAGATATTCTCTAACAAAAGAGAGGTCTGGCGGGCGGGCCTAAATGTCTTCAAAATTTAATTTTTCTTTTACTTTTTTTTACTATTGTGTATAGACCATCCATGAAAATAGTAGTTTTATTTGGCTTTTCTAAACCCCTCATTTGCTTAAAATGAGTACCTTAACTAATACCTCTAAACAGATAAGCGGGTCCTAATTGGGTGAAAGGTCAACAAAGAACTGCTACCTTAGTTTGTAGTGGTGTTATAAATTTACATCCAATAAGCCGCATTACTGCGTAACGAAGGTGCCAAAATCGTAAGAAACACTATTTTTGTGGATAGTCTATACATGAAATCCATCAAACTTTCATTCTTTGAAATAATTGTCGAGGTATCTTGTCTTTATCCATAGTTTTCTTCATTTTATAATATTGAAGAAAACTTAAAAATCTGACATCAATTGCTGACTTTTCATAGACATCAAATCAACTTAATAAATT